CGCGTACGCACTGACCATTATGCTCTGCAGTTTCTTCTTACATTCAAGGAGCCGCGGGGGCAGATGGCCCGGTGGTTGGCGCAGTTGCAGGAGTACAACCTGCAAATCGAGTATCGGGCTGGCCGGACGCATGCAAACGCGGACGCCTTGTCGAGGCGACCCACGGTGTACGCCGAGACGAGGGCGGAGGAGGCCTGCCCGTGTTTCACGGGGGGACGCTGCCGGCAGGCAACGGACCCCCGAGAGGCCGCGGCCACTGACCCCTCCCCAGCGAGAGAGAGTGCAGTGTGCGCCACAGAGACCCTCACAGGTGGCACTGAGGATCCCGTCGACCGCCCGGCAAGCGCGGGACCCGCGGCTCGGGACCCGATCGGACGGATCCAGGAGGACGTCGGCTGCGCCTTCCCGGGCCTAAACGACGAGCAGCTGAGACAGACCCAGCAGCGAGATCCGGATCTGGCGGCGGTGGAGGCGGCACTGCGAGAGAAGAAGGATGCACTACCAGGACCCTGGAGCGGTTTGTATGCCCGGTTGTGTGTAGAAAACGGGGTGGTGAGGGAACTGGCCGACGCTGGGCAGCCGGGGTGCATCTGCATTCCCGCCCATGTGCGACCCCAACTACTACGACTGGTACACGACCACCCGCTCGGGGGCCATGATGGGGAACGGCGCACCCGGGAGACTCTGCGTCGCCAGTATCTCTGGCCTAAATTGGCGCAAGATGTGGCCGCCTGGGTGCAGGGCTGCCGGGCCTGTCAGCAGTGTGGGCAAAAGCCGGCGAGGTACCAGGTACCCCTGAGGCCGTTCCGAGTCAGTCGGACGAATCAGTTGGTCGGAATCGACCTGCAGGGGCCCTTTCCACAATCCCACCGGGGCAACCGATATATTCTCGTAGCGGTGGAATACTTCACCCGCTACCCCGTGGCGGTGGCTATCCCGGATAAAACAGCCCTCGTAGTGGCCCGGGCCTTCGTGGAAAACTACGTACTTAAGTGCGGGATCCCCGAATGAGTCATTACCGACCAGGGTAGTGAATTCGAGGCCGAACTATTTCAGGCGCTGTGCCGAGAGTTCGGGATCCAGAAGGACCGAACCACGGCGTATCACCCCCAGGCGAACGGGATGGTAGAGAGGATGAACCAGACTCTGGCCGGGACGCTTAAACGCATGGCGGCCGCGAATCAACAGGACTGGGACGAACACCTTCCCTATGCCCTGTTCGCCTACACCACCGCCGTTCACACCTCTACAGGACAGACCCCGTTCCTAATGATGTTTGGTCGCGAGTCTCGCCTGCCCGCAGATCTGCTGTTCGGTGTCCCTCCGCCGCAACGGGAGGAAGGGAGCCACCCCGTGGAGCACTTGCTGGAGACCCTGCGAGGGGCCAGGGGCCGAGCCTACCCGCACGGAGAGGCCGCGCACCAGCGGCAAGAGCAGGGCGCCCGACCCCGTATGGAGCCCCCCTTCTACACTGCGGGCTCCGAGGTGTGGCTGTACACTCCCCGCGTCGGTGCCGGACAGGTGGGGAAGCTGACCACCTACTGGCGAGGACCCTGGATTGTGAGACGGCAGATCTCACCATGGACGGTGCTGATTCAGGGAGGAGAGAGGGGCCGGGAGATGGTGGTCAACATCCGCCGACTGAAGCCGTGGCGAGCAGCCCCCGAGGGGGGGAGCCCCGCCGTCCAAGTACCCCGAAACCCCAGGGTCCCCCCACCCCCCGTGCCTGGGGGCCTCGCGCAGTACATGGGCCCCACGGAGCCCCAGGCTCCGAGGGGCCCCGGGCGGGGCCGGGGGCGACGAGGACGGCGACCCTTAAACCCCACCGCCTCTGAGTTTGTTCCCCAGCCCGCAGGTGCCAGAGGCCGAGGGGAGCCGTTGGAATGGAGGAGGAGACCACCGCCGGAGCCCCAGGAGACGGAGCCGCCACCCCCGAGGCCAGCCACAAGGGCCGGGCGAATCCCGCGGACCCCGCGGCGATACCTCGTGGGGGCAACCCAGGCGAGGTGCTCCAGTCAACCCGGGACGGGGACTGGCACCCCGGGGGGCTATGTGGTGCCACAACGACGGGGCCGCTCTGCCGAGCCAGGGAGCCGCCCGGCTTCCACCACTGCACTGCCCCCCATCACCCCCCCCACATAAGCACGCACCCGCATCCACGTAGGGCCTTGTGGTCGGGTCACCTACCCTGAGTTTTCACCCGAGGGCCCCCTCGGGGGGTTACCCCACGGTTTCTCAGGGCCAGGGAATTGGACAGGACCCTTCCCAGGCTAAGTAACACTGCGGCGCCGTGGGCGGATTTGAGATCGCACGACCACGGCGAGCTCAGAGAGCCCCGCAGTTAGAAACGCATACAAACACAAACACGGGTCAGCAAGGCAGATAGCTAGGATCAGGACCCGGGGCTGCTGCTTAGCAAAAAGGTCAAAAGGCCGGCGGGATCGCAAAAGGGCGGGAAATCCTAGGCTCAGGATTGGTCGAGAGACCAAGGCGGTCGGGACGGGGGTGCCTAGCTTTGATGTGGATAGTTTAAAAGAAAACGCAGGGGCAGTAGGGGACTCTCTTCTTCTGGAGTAGTGACACGGGGTCAACGACGAGGGAATCATCGGGCGAGCCGCAGGATCGTCTGCAGGACGACCTGAGCGCCGCAAGGTCACCTAGGACTACAGACGGTATCGTATTGCGCGCCTTACAACACCTCAGAGCGGAGAGTGGGATCCGTAGGAGAAGGTTAGTTCGGGGTAAGGACGAATAGGAAAGCGGTGTAGCAGAGAGCGCAGCATAGAATAGGGCTGCACGCCACTAGAGAGTGGGTTGGAAGCGCCTTGCTGGCTCGTACACACACACGGGTGGCTCGGTGGGTTAACAAGGGTTAATAAAGTCTCGAGCGTAGTAACAAAACCGTGTTGTTGGGTGTTTTTGAACGTGGTATTGGCGTGCACTGCATTCGCGGGTGTGGGGTCGTTGTATGCGTAAAGGCCGTGGTCTCTGTACGATGGTGCGGGTACGGAGGTGTGTGTTAACGCCCGGGGAGAGCACTTTTGTGTGTTGGCGTGCCTGCGCAGCCGTGTGAGAGGAGAGTCGTCCTTGCACGATACTTGTGTTGACGTGCACGCGCGAGTGCGGGAGGGGACGGGTCGTCGTGTCGGCGTGCACCCCACTCGCGTGTGCGAAACCGCGGTGCGCAGTGAAGCTGTTGGCTTTGTGCGAGCTTGCGTGTGCTCGAGCGCGTAATCGGCTGCGCATTGTTGTACGGTTTATCTCGCGCGCACGGCGGCGGCAACTTGAGTCGTTGTGTCGGCGTGTGCCCCGCTTGCGTGTGCTCGTTACGTGCGTAAAGTGCGGCGCGGTGGTGAGTTCCTGACCCCCAGCCCCGCGGCTCGAGCGCGTAATCGGCTGCGCATTGTTGTACGGTTTATCTCGCGCGCACGGCGGCGGCAACTTGAGTCGTTGTGTCGGCGTGTGCCCCGCTTGCGTGTGCTCGTTACGTGTTATAAGTGTGAACGCGTGTGGTACGGTGTATGCGTAAGTTCTCGTCGTGCGAAATCGGCGTACCCCAGGTGCGCGATCGTAAAGTGAGCGACCAGCGCGGCGCAGAGCGGCGCAAGAGTGAGTGCCGTGCAGAGCTGTGTGTGTGGGTGTGCGCGTACGTAATTAACCATGCCTGCTACGCGGACCCGCGGTGGAGGGGAATCCTCGGGCGACGGCTCCCACACCATGGGTGAGGAACTCAGCAGCGGTTCGCTTAGCAGCGGGGGGGCGATTGATGATGCTAGCCCGGCCGTTAGCATTATCGAGGGAGGGATTTCGGGGGCTAGCGACCCCCACAAGTCACGTAGGTAGAAAAATAATACAATAAAACAAAAAATAATATAACACGACGTTTTGATCGCAACACAAGCGGTCGTCCTCAGACAGAAAAAATAATCCAGCAGTGAAACTGCTGAACCAGCATCAAATCAAGATAATAGCTGATCGTGACAAGCATTGTTATGTCCCTTGAGTTGCATGAATACGGTCGTTGAGAAGTATTTTAGTCATTCGTTATTATTGGACCTCGTGGTGACTGCCCTCCTACACACACACACAACACGCATATCGGTGCAAATAAGATTGTTACACGTTTCTAAAAGGGTTCCCATCTCAAGGTGGTGTGTTAACTATTAGCTGATCGTGAAAACATTGTCCTGTCCCTTGAGTTGCATGAATACGGTCGTTGAGAAGTATTTTAGTCATTCGTTTTATTTATCGCGCAACCTTACCAATGAATACATTGATGACACACTAAACATTTAGAAGAATCTATGTTATGAATCTACACACTCACATGAACACTATTGTTTTGAGATATTGCCCGCGAATTCATTGATGTCCCATTTCTACAATTGATAAGCATCTGTTAGCCAAACCTACACACCCGCACGTACACTATTGTTTAGGGACATTATGTTAATTGCATAATCTTCCGAATGAATCATTGATGTCCACTTTTGCCATTGGGCATTCTTGAGCACGGTTACGTCATTTTAAAGTACTTTTCCTATCGTCGTGTATTGTCGTGCTACTCTGAGGAGTTAGCCTATTGTTCTTTTGCTCAGTTTTAACAACGTAACCATTGACGTTTAATTGTATGGATCGATGAGTAGGACGTATACAGGAGTACTTTGGTGGCAATTCCGATCATAAGTGTGTTAGGAAATTAGAGTGTTTTTCGATATTAAAGTTGCTTAACACAGAAGAGTCTGAGTGGTTTTTTCCTAAATTCATGCCTAATTATCTTAATTATAAGAACTGTATCCTGCGGCGAGCTCTGAATTCTGAGACCGGACATAATTACACTAAAACATGATCAGTAAAAGTTAAAGCGAGAATCATTGTATTACCACGATTGGTAATACACCCGAGACAACTGTAGTGGTGATAACTATTCGCTGTTCGCAAGCTGTGAGAGAGCGGATGGTAAACAAGGTTTCACCGCTCGATCAAACGGTCAGGGTCAAATGGGGTGATGTAGGATCCAAATGCCAGATTGAGAAGGACCAATCGGAGGGTTCCACAAGGTGGCCAGGGATTGGACAACCCGGCCACGAACAGGTATAAAAGCCAGAGCGCTGAGAGCTCTTGGCCAGTTCTGCTACACGAAGACCCAAGTCGGCCGAAGACAGATAGGACCCTGGACCAAGCCTTCCAGCCCTTGTCAGGGCTGGGGCTCAGAGTAACCAGTGGTCAGGGGAGATAGGTCCTGGATAGGACCCTGGCTCCCAGCCTTCCCGCCCTTGTGAGGGCGAAGGTCCTGAGCGACCAGAGGTCAGGGACCCGCCGGGCCAGCGGCGGGTCAGTGTCCCTCCCCTAGGTCCCAGCCGGAGGACGCTAGGCTAGCTGGGAGATTAGATAGACAGCAATTTCAGAGGCTGTACCTCCTTAGAATAGGAGCGAAGTGTGAGTGTGGAGCTGTGCAGGGTCAGGAAGCTATACCTCCTCAGGTTAACAGGTAAGGGGACCGTATACCCCTTGTGTGTTAGAGACTGTATAATTAAGACAATAAACAGTGTGTGCCATAAATAAGTTTGAAAGTCCGTCCTTTACAACACTACACAACGAAGACGAGCCAAATTTATCCAATTTGAATACATTCGCATAATTCAATAACTATTTTCTTTTGATAAAATTACGCATTTTAAATGCCATTATTTATTTATTCAAAACTATATATACAACAAGGCTATAGGTGGACCTTTGCCTTCATCTCCGTGTCCGTGTGTGGGTGTCTCCTTGACTGTCTCCATGTCTATCTCCGTATCTCTCTATGTCTCGTGATGAGAGCAAATGCCCAGTCGGATGAACCTGAAGAGTGTCACTCAGGGGTGGGGACTCAACCATCACTCGGCCCCACGAAAACAAAGCACCTGTATGGGTATTTTATGGGTAAGCTTGTTGATATTTTGGTGTGTAAGTGTGCGTGACTTTTTAAATGTGTAATTTTAAAGCTAAATCATTCCTAAAATTGCCTCCATCAAAAATTAATCAAAGTGTTTTTTGAACCAAGAAAATTTGGATTTGTTCTTCTTGGTCATGGGGCTGCTGTTGGTGGCATTGATAGCGGTGGTGGTGGCAGTGGTAGTGGCGGTGAATGCCGTGGCATTGGTGTCGGTGTTGGCGGGGGTGGCGTTGGTAACGGCGGTGGCGGCGGCAGTTGCGAGACGAAGCGTCTCAATCTCCTGAAGGAGCGTCTCCTTCTTTCGAAGCAGCGTCACGTTCTCCAAATGCAGCCTCTCATTTCCTTGACGCAGCATCTCATGTTGCCACATCGCTCGTTCTTGTAGCATCGTCTCCGCGTGCATCGCCACAAACTCCTGACGAGTCACCTCCAGCCCTGTACGCAGCGTCGTGTTTTCCTCGTGCAGCTTCGCTCTTCTTCGCTCCAGATTCTCGTTCTGCTGTCGATGCGTCGCGTTGTGCACTTCAAACGTTGACAAGGCTGAAAGGTGTGAAACAGGGATCATTATTAGGAAAGGGACTGAAATAGAACATGTACCTTCTCTGCAATGTAGTCATAACTTTAATTGCAACTGTACAGTATTTTACATATCTATACGTCTGTTTACAGACCCGTGCAAAAGTTACCCGCGATAAAATTTGAGATTATCAGCGGGTAAAATAGAATATAATTTGAAAATTAAAGCATGTAATGGGTAACGTCGTCAGGCACATTATGAGATGTGTTCATAGCTATGCTCACCTTTTTTCAACTCTGCTTATTACAAATTTATTTTTAATCAACGAAGGAAACGTGATGAAAAAATAAAAGCACGAAACTTCAGGCACTCCCACACAAATAGATACACACGCACTTTCAGACTCCCTTCGAAACCCACAGATTCATATAGAGACCCATAACCTCACATCAAGACCCATACACCCACACCACATGTTTCTACTTACCATGTTTCCATTGACGCCGCTTCATGACCTGAATAAAAACTGTCATGACCATCAACCCAATCATGAGCAAGACCAAAGTCCAAGCCATTGAATCCGTGCCAGGGTTCGGGCATGGTGGCTTGGGGATGAGATGTGCGGAATTGCATCTGTTGCCCACGAAGAGGGAGAAGAGGAACCGGACAAATCCGACGCAGAACTGCAACAGCAGCAGTAGCATCAGCATCTTGCCGCTCGTGTTGTCAAAGTCCGCGTGTGAGTGCCAAGTGCGAGCGTGCGTGCTGAGAGCACTCCCAGTGGTGACGTCATCAGTTCCGGCCGTGACGCATTGTTACAGATATCCTGTCATGACACGTGGTTAGAAAAGCCCCTGTGACGTCACAAGCACCACTGCACAGTATTTATTTCGTTTAGGGGAAAAAACATTTACACTTATGTACACTAGATTTCATCAACGTAACCTCTACATTGCAAATTTTATTTGATAATCATTAAAACAATGGGCACATTTATTTTAGACTGGATTCAAATGTTTGTTTATATTCCGTTTAACATGTAGGATTTCGTGACCAATGTGTTCTATAATAGAGGTTTTTGAGTTAGATCTCTTGAATATAAATGCGTCGTTAAACTCGCCACCACTATCGATTAAGGCTGCTCCATCACTATTTAAACTACCATCTCTTGCTGTTCACGTTACCCTTATGCGTTTAGTTTATTTGGCTGCTATAAGTTTAAACGTGAAAAGCTTCTACGTTGAGCTATCATTTGTCACCTGGTCGGTGTTCCATAGTAAAGGCAATAGTTTAGTTTAAACGTTTCATCATTCAACATCAGTGTTAACCTTTATCATGGAACATTTACAATTTACAATGTGTCGTTAATTGTAAATGTTGTGGGCTATATAGGAGCCTAAACCCACAACAAGTGTAAATGTATTTTTGTGTTACTATATGTGCCATACTCTTTGGTTCTTTCGGTAAAGTCACGTATAAAGATAAAATAATAAATTAAATAATAGCATATTTAATTTATTATTTTAAGAACCAAAGAGTAATTCCTGCAGTCACGAAAGCTCCAAATTAAGATTATATGTGCCATATTCAATTTGATCATTTTTCATGGAAAGTTGTTTCATGTTAAGTAAATAAATTGTACTGAAATAATTTCGGCAGTACGAAAATAATCATCACCATCATCATGGCTTGGCTTCGCGAACGAAGATCTAGGAAGGACATCCACGTCTTCTGCAGGCACGCTGGTGGCTGAAGAGGCCTATGCTGGACAAGGAGGTCCTGCCACAACAGCTGCAAGTATAGGTCTGATCTGGGATGGGTGCTGAGGAATCATAGTTCTTCCTCCTTCTCCTTTTGTCCTCCATACGGGCCCTGCGGGTATCTTCGAAGAAGGAGGTGGCCTGGTGGACTGTGTGCCACCAGGAGTTGCGATCAGCTGCTTGTGTTGCCCACTGACGGTGATCGATGCAGCAAGCTGTGAGGGACTTTTTCAGGGAGTCTTTGTATCGCTTTCGTGGTGCCCCTATGTCGCGATGGCCAGAGGACAGTTCCCCATACAGCACAATCTTAGGTAAGCGGTGGTTCTCCATCCTGGCGATGTGCCCTGCCCAACGAAGCTGTATCTTGAGGACCATGGCCTCGATGCTGATGACCTCCGCTGACTCGAGGACTTCAGTGTTGGCGACAAAGTCACTCCAGTGAATATTGAAGATTGTGCGGAGGCAGCGCTGATGGAAACGCTCGAGGAGACTCAGGTGACGACGGTACGTGACCCAGGACTCAGCGCCATACAGGAGAGTGGTCAGCACAACAGCTTTGTAGACGTTGACCTTCGCGTCTCTTTTAAGGTTGCTGTTGTTCCAGACACGATTGTATAGTCTGCCAAATCCACTGTTTGCCTTGGCCAGCCTGTTGTCGACTTCGTTGTCGATCTTGGCGTCAGACGAGATCACGCACCCCAAGTAGCTGAACTGGTGGACAGCTTTCAGTTCTGTTTGTTCAATGAAGATGCTTGGTGGATAGTGCTCCTCATGGGGTGCGGGCTGATGAAGAACTTCAGTCTTCCTCAGGTTGACTTCAAGATCGAAGATCTGAGCTGTTTTCGCGAAACAGGACGTAATTCGCTGCATAGCTGCCTCTGTGTGAGCAAGGAGGGCGGCATCGTCAGCAAACAGCAGCTCCCTGATCAGTTGCTCCATGGTCTTTGTGTGGGCCTGCAAACGCCTGAGGTTGAACACGCTCCCGTCGAAATGAAAACGGATGTATATGCCATCAGCGTCGTCGAGGTCCTCTGTGGCCTGCTGAAGCATCATGCTGAACAAAATGGTGAACAGCGTGGGAGCAAGAACACAGCCCTGTTTCACGCCGTTTGCAATAGGGAAGGGCTGCGAGAGATTGTTGCTATGTCTGACTTGTCCAAGTTGGTCTTCATAAAGCTGGACGATCATGGTGAGAAACTTCGGTGGGCAGCCTAGCTTTTCCAGGATTTTCCAAAGTCCCTGCCTGCTCACGGTGTCAAACGCTTTTGTCAGGTCCACAAAGGTGATGTACAGCTCTTTGTTTTGCTCCCGGCACTTCTCCTGAATCTACCTCAGGACAAACACCATGTCTGTGGTTCCCCGGTTGGCTCTGAAGCCACACTGGGTCTCTGGGAGGTGATCTTCAGCTATTGCGGGTACCAGTCTATTCAGCAGTACTCTTGCGAGGATTTTGTCGGCGACGGACAGAAGTGTTATGCCACGATAATTGGAACAGTCTGATTTCTCCCCTTTGTTCTTGTACAGGGTGATGATGACTGCATCTTTGAGCTCTTGAGGGAGTTTACCCTGCTCCCAGCAGCAGACGAATAATTCATGGAGTTTGGTGTGCAGTGCTGGGCCTCCGTTCTTCCATACTTCAGGAGGGATGCCATCAACTCCTGCAGCTTTACCACTCTTCAGCTGTTTAATTGCTTCCTCAGTCTCTTGTAATGTTGGTGCCACATCCAGTTCGGGTTTCACTGGTTGTTGTGGGATGCGGTCAATCGCTGGTTCTTGGACTGAGCGGCTAGCATTGAAGAGCATGTAGAAGTGCTCAGACCAGCGGTTCAGGATTGAGTCCTTTTCGGTGAGCAGTTCTTTCCCATATGCACTCCGCAGGAGGTTCAGGATTTGGTACGAGGGGCCATATACCGCTTTTAGAGCTTCGTAGAATCCCCTGTAGTCGCCGGTATCAGCGGAAACCTAAGTTTTTACTGCGAGGTTGGTCCACCAATCGTTTTGAATTTCTCGAAGCTTGCGCTGGAGGGTGCTGCATTCCAGGCAGAAGGCTGCTTTTTTGTGCGGGCAGGATGGTTGGGCCAGGTGGGCCTGGTGTGCTGATCTCTTCTTTGACAGCAGCTCCTGGACTTCTAAGTTGTTCTCATCGAACCAATCTCTGTTTTTCTTCGTGGAGAATTCGAGGGTATTTTCAGATGTTTGCAGAACAACAGTTTTGATGCGGTCCCACAGCACTTCAGGAACCGGAGGCGAGTCTGTTAGGCAGCTCGGTTCCTCTTGCCTAGATCGTAGGCTTTTTCTGGAAAGCTGCTTTGACCGCGGCAGACTGAAGGCTGCAGACTTTGAGCTTCTTCCTCGGGGCGCCTCCTTTCCTTGGTCTGGGCTTAAAGTGGAAGCTGCGTTTGCAGCGGACAAGACGGTGGTCTGTGTGACACTCGGCGCTGGGCATTACCCTGGTGTGAAAGACATCTTTTAGGTCACGCTGGCGCACTAGGATGTAGTCTATGAGATGCCAATGTTTTGACCGAGGGTGCATCCAGGTTGTCTTCAGACTGTCTTTCTGCTGGAAGATGGTGTTGGTAATGGAAAGCTGCTGTTCCGCGCAGAATTCCAGTAACAAGCGTCCATTGTCGTTGCAGCTGCCCACACCGTGCCTTCCAAGTACGCCTCTCCAGGTTTCCGAGTCTCTGCCCACTCTGGCGTTGAAGTCGCCAAGGATGACAATCTTGTCGTCAGCTGGGATATCCTGCAGAAGGCTGAGTAGGTCTGAGTAAAACTTGTCTTTGTCAGCGGGATCTGCCTGGAGATTTGAAGCGTACACACTGAACAGTGTTACGTGTTGCTGGTCACGAAGTGGTAGACGCATTGAGATGATGCGGTCAGAGTGGCCAGTTGGCAGGCTTGCAAGCTTGGTAGCGATAGAGTCCCTGATCATGAAGCCGACACCTGAACGGCGTCTCTCTGTCGCTGGTTTGCCTGACCAGTAGAGAGTGTAACCTGCGCCATGCTCCCTCAGACTGCCTTCCTCTGAAAAACGGATTTCGCTGAGGGCGGCGATGTCAACATCCAGCCGAACGAGTTCGTGTGCAATTAAAGCAGATCGTCGCTCAGGTCGAGTGCTATCAGCTGAGTATATCATGGTTCTGATGTTCCAGCATGCGAGTGTGAGTCCTTTCCCACCTTTTAAGGCGAGTGGGATGCAGAAAATGGAATGGATTTGATTAACAATGTCGGGTCTTAATTGATTGTGTTCACGCTTACGGTGACTTTCAGACCGCATTCCATTTTCTGCTCCCCCCTCCTCTTTTCCGAAAATGGATGGACTCGTCCATCTGGCCAACTGCCAAATCGCTGTCAGTGGTGCTGACGTTAGGAAAAACCGCCATTTTTTAAAAATTTTCTTTCTGTGGATTTCACACCTGATGATGATTGCTTGTGTTGCAGTCGATACGTCGTGAGAATATTTATTGTTTTATGTTTATATTATTTTATTGTTTCCCTTCTACGCGACTTTACCGAAAGAACCAAGAAGATTAGCTGATCGTGAAAAACATTGTTCGGTTCATTGAGCGGCATGAATACATTCGTTTAGAAGTATTTTAGTCATTCGTTTAATTAATTTCATAACTGTAGCAATGAATTAATTGAGGAAACTAAAATGTAAAACCATCTATGTTACGAATCTACACACTCGAGGAATCCTATTGTTCTTCTTCTTGGTTCTTTCGGTAAAGTCACGTAGAAGGGAAATAATAAATAATAAAAATAAAAATATTAATAATTTTATTAATAATAAAAACATAATAAAACAGTATACTAATTTTTTATGTTTTAATTTCATTATTTTATTATTTCCCTTCTACGTGACTTTACCGAAAAAACCAAGAAGATGAATCCCTGCAGTCACGAAAGCTTTAAATCGAATTCTATTGTGTTGAGATTTATTTTTTTTGA